ATAAATAAATAAAATCTTTAAAAAAAAATAAAAATAAATAAAATAAAAATGTAAGATTTGTTGAAAAGAAAACCACAGGCCCAAAATGGCATCACTTAGGCCAGGTCACTAAACCAGGGCTTAATACTTAACTGCAGTTTCAACCTCCCTCCAGAAGTGTTAAGTCTGTCAGGAATTTTCTGATAGGCATCAATGAGGTAATCTATGTGTATAATAAGACCCCCTGCCCTTCCCCCTAAGGGAAGGTGACCTTGCATGGAACAGTCCTTTCTTTTCTTTCCATAATAACTTTCTTGCCCCACCCTCCTTCCTATAAAAACCTTCCATTTTGTCCAACTCCTTGGAGCTCCCCTCTGCTTGCTAGGTGGGGTGCTGTCTGATGGATGAATTGCTTAATAAAGCTAATTAGATCCTTGTATTTACTCGGTTAGATTGTGTTCAACAGATTGTAAGCCTCCCCTAAATGTCTTGAGTCCCACGCTCCCAAGTGGGATCTGGGCTCAGTCTGATGGAGTGGTTGCTTAACTTTTCTTTAGGAACCAGCACCCCCCCCCCATTAAGGATGATTGGGAAACCCCCTCCTGGAGAATTGTGGGATCTCTAAGATGGCGTCAAGAATCAGGACCCAGGCAGATGTTTGGCCCTCCCAAGGCAGCCACCCCAGAATACTCTTTAGCAATTTGATTTGGGGGTCGGGGAGGGGGAGAAAGAGACTAGAGTCCTGCGGACCCTGTGCCCTGTCATCTAACTGCTAAGGCCCAAAATGGGACCTGGTGGGTGGGAAGGGATGACACAGGCCTGCGGAGGGGAGCTGCTGGGACTGGCACGTCGAGCCGAGGAGGTTTTGGGAAGTGTGTGGTTTTCCCATTCCCTGACAGTGGTGCCAGGAGCGTGGAGGCGGTGGTGGTAAGTGAAGTAATGCTTCTTCCGAGGCACAGATGGAAAAGTCACTTTTATTTTAGGCCCAGTGCTTTTCCTCCCCTGCCTTCCCCCAAAGCATCAGTTCCATCCCAGGAGAACCACCCAGAGGGACGCTTCTAGACTTTAGGCTCTAAACAGAGCCCAGGAGCTCAGGGCTGTTAGCACTGGCGTTTAGAAGGGCACGGGGCCCCGACGCGCCCGGGGGCATCGCCTCCAACGACTGCCGTGTGGCTGTGGAGAAACGGAGCGAGGGTGTTGGAGCTGGCAGCCTTGCGTCGGAGGTTGGTTCTGTGTCAGCGCTCCGGCAAACCCCCACTCGGGACACAGTGCTCAGGAAACGCTGAGTGCGTGGCCTAGTTCTAGGCAGTGTTAATTACGGGCTTTTGGGCGCCTGTCGTCACTTAACCAATTTCCTGCGCTGTTGATTGGGCCCGATTTATCCTGAGGCAGCCCAGGCCCCTTGCTCTGGAACCTCTCCTGACCCATCAGCCTGGGTCAAGCTGGGGTGCGGAGTCATTACGGGGCGGGTTGGCGAAGGGGGACAATGCTGGGCTCCAGGTGTGGAAGCTAGCGGCACCTGCAGCTGCTGTTCCCAAGGGGTTTTAAAGCAACTGATGCACCTGCATGGACTGAGGAGGGGGTGTGAGGGTGGATGTGCACAGCACCCTTTGGGGTCCTACACTGCAGGCAGGCTGTCTGCCCCCCGCCCAAGCTGGGCCTCCAGGGCCTCACCCTAGGCCGATTCTCTCTGCACACGCATCCTCCCTCCCTGGAAAGTTCGTGGGCCCGCCCACACATGCGTGTGAGTACGTGCGCAGTCCCCCAAGGGCCCCGGTAAACAGCTCGCTCTCTGTAGTGGAATCTCATTGTGTTTTGCAGACTTCATTCTTCTCCGCTCGTTTGTGAAGCAGGCAAGGGGTATCATTACTCTTACTTGTTAAGTTGCCCGAGAGGGAAAAAAAGTTTTTCCTCCTCCAAGAGTCTAATTACTTGTTGGGTGAGCCCCGACCCGTATACATTTCTAAAGAGAGAGACACCTGATGCCAGCAGAAGAGATGTCCTTGGACGGGATTCAGAGACCCTCTGCGGGCCATTCCATCGGTGGCTGGCTCTGCAGCCATACCAGACTGTAGCCGAAACTTCTCAAAGAGTTGAGGATGCTGTGTTTCTTGCCTTGAGTCGCTGGGCATTCCGTGCTCTTTCATGCTTCTCTGCCTCGGTCATTTCTGTCCCTTTGCTGGGTGCGTGCTACCTTTCCCGTTACCTGTGCCGTGCCCCCACCCC